AATATTTGTAATTATATTCTTGAACGATTTTATTTAATTGTATTATGAAGAGGTTGTGACTATTTATATTAACATGATTGCACAAAGTCCTACACTGGCATCCCCAATATTTTTTCTTGTAAAAATTATTTCACATTCACTATAAAAGAGTAATAATACACATTAACCTTAATATAGATACAATTAATAAAATTAATTTATATTTTTTGCAGTTTATTATTAAATAAAATGTAATCTTATGATTGAACAGTATGACTTTTATTCATAATTTAACCGTTTTTAGTACAATCATTCAATATTTTCATAATTACAAAAAACGCATATTACTTTCATACATTTCTTATGTTAAGTGTCGCACATATAAAGTTTCTCTTGGCTTCAGCTTCTTCTCTATTGCATCTTTGAATTTCTTGCAGACCTACTGCTATATCATCTATATCATTTAATGTTAATATTTCAAAGTCATCATTTTGTATTAAACATACATTGTGTAACACACAACACGCTAAAACATGATAAGGAATGTATTCAATCAATCCCATGGCTAAATGATGAAGAAGACTGCGCCAACGTTCTTTCAGTAATCCGATAGTTCTTTCCACATACATACGAGAAGAAGAAAGACAAAAGTTATAATTCTTTTGTCTCTGTGTAAGGTGACCATTATCAGTATATGGCACCATTAATTGCTTCAAGAGCGGATAAGCAGCATCTCCTATCAGATGGCTGTCATCTGGAAATTTCGTTGGGTTAGAAACGTAATCTTGCAAGGCTGACAATCGGAACACCCTAGCATCGTGCACGGATCCTACATTTCCCACATATACATGGGTGAAAAGACGCTTATGATCACAAACTACCTATAATAAAACAACAATTATATTTAATTCTTTACAAGCAATAATAGAATTCAAAATAACAAACAATATACCTGGGCTTGAATGGAATGATGACCTTTCCTGTTTACATATGCTTCAGGATTTTCCTTAGGAGCTGGTATATTGATGAACGTGCCATCAATTGCGCCAATAATTCCTGGAAAGCCATTAACGTCAGAGAAACTTTGTTTAATTTCTTCTAGTCTTCTTCCTGTTGGCCACTGTATGAATCTTGAAGCAATTCTACATAACGCTACAGTAACTCGTCGTACTGTCCTTATACATGTGGCTTTTCCTATTCCAAATCTAGTATGTATTGACCTGAAATAATATTATGACTTAAACGGACTGAGTTGATTTATTAATATTAGCAATATAAGTATCATAATTTATACCTATACGAATCTGGTGTTGCCATACGCCATAAAGTAATCAAAAGTTGTTTTTCTGGTGTAATCATTTCATTACCATTTGTGATCCTTTTCAATTGTTCTGCGACTTCTCCTAAGAGAAATT